GTATGTTTGTTTGACCTTATAAATGTGGGTGTGGTTAGACAATGAAAGGAGACATTTGATTGTGAAATACACCTTTCTGTGGACTCAGTGGAGAAATACAGTCTCTGGTCATTACCTTTGAGGCCTTGAAACTTTGCTTCAGTGTATTTATTTACTTAACCTTTTGGGTATGCAGTCTACAAGAGGATCCTCCAGCTGGTGTCAGTGGTGCCCCTTCTGAAAACAACATCATGGTGTGGAATGCAGTCATTTTTGGGTAAGAAATTAATTTGGTTCTGAAGTGTAGATCTTATTTTTGTGTCTGAACAAATGACAAAATATCGCTTTTCTCTAAATTCGCAGCCCTGAAGGAACTCCCTTTGAGGATGGTAAGTACCCCACTGTATATGGAGATAGATAAAGTTAAATGTAGTAACTTAATCAAAAATCTCACTGAATAGAATTAATTGAAAGAGACTCCTCAAGTCACATCTCCACAGTGTCCTCAGTTGGTCCAAAATCTCATATGTGTTCCTTTGTTTCAGGTACATTTAAACTCATCGTAGAATTCACAGAAGAATATCCCAACAAACCCCCTACAGTGCGATTTGTGTCAAAGATGTTTCATCCAAATGGTAAGAACATGATCACCTGCTGCCTCGTTATAGTGTTATTTGTGGCCTGTTAATAATTGTTTTTTCTCTACAGTCTACGCGGATGGCAGTATATGTTTAGACATCCTACAGAATCGTTGGAGCCCCACTTATGATGTGTCTTCTATTCTAACATCTATCCAGGTAAGAAGTGTCAATATTTAACAATAAAAGAAAAGATTTCATTATTATGGCATATTATTGTTAATTTGATTATGGAAACATTAAGTGCATTTCCAAATCATTGTGGCAATATTCCATCCATCCATCCATCTTCATCCGCTTTGTCCGGGGCCGAGTCGCGGGGGCAGCAGCCTAAGCAAAGAGGCCCAGACCTCCCTCTCCCCAGCCACCTCCTCCAGCTTATCCGGGGGAATACCAAGGCGTTCCCAGGCCAGCCGAGAGATATAATCTCTCCAGCGTGTCCTGGGTCTGCCCCGGGGCCTCTCCCGGTGGGACATGCCTGGAACACCTCACCCAGGAGGCGCCCAGGGGGCATCCTTGTCAGATGCCCGAACCACCTCAGCTGGCTCCTTTCGATGTGGAGCAGCAGCTGCTCTACTCTGAGCCCCTCCCGGATGGCCGAACTTCTCACCCTATCTCTAAGGGAGAGGCCAGCCACCCTTCGGAGGAAGCTCATTTCTGCCGCTTGTATCCGCGATCTCGTTCTTTCGGTTACTACCCACAGCTCGTGGCCATAGGTGAGGGTAGGGATGTAGATCGACCGGTAAATTGAGAGCTTCGCTTTTACACTCAGCTCCCTCTTCACCACGACGGACCGGTGCAGCGTCCGCATTACTGCAGCTGCAGCCCCAATCCGTCTGTCGATCTCCGGCTCCCTTCTCCCATCACTCGCGAACAAGACCCCGAGATACTTGAACTCCTCCACTTGGGGCAGGAACTCATCCCCGACCCGGAGTGGGCACTCCACCCTTTTCCGGCTGAGAACCATGGCCTCAGATTTGGAGGTGCTGATCCTCATTCCCGCTGCTTCACACTCGGCTGCGAACCGTTCCAGTGCGAGCTGGAGGCCCTCACCCGATGAAGCCAACAGAACCACATCATCTGCAAAAATCAGAGATGAGATTCTGAGGCCACCAAAGCGAAAGCCCTCCGCCACTTGGCTGCGCCTAGAAATCCTGTCCATAAAAATTATGAACAGAACCGGAGACAAAGGGCAGCCCTGGCGGAGCCCATCACCCACCGGGAACGAGTCCGACTTATTGCCGGCAATGCGAACCAAGCTCTTGCAACGGTTGTATAGGGATCGAATGGCCCGTAGCAATGGGCCAGATACCCCATATTCCCGCAACACCTCCCACAGGACACCCCGAGGGACACGGTCGAATGCCTTCTCCAAGTCCACAAAACACATGTAGACTGGTTGGGCAAACTCCCATGCACCCTCAAGTATCCTGGAGAGGATAAAGAGCTGGTCCAGTGTTCCGCGACCAGGACGAAAACCGCATTGTTCCTCCTGTATCCGAGGTTCGACTAACGGACGAACTCTCCTTTCCAGCACCCTGGCATAGACTTTCCCAGGGAGGCTGAGGAGTGTGATCCCCCTGTAGTTGGAACACACCCTCCGGTCCCCTTTCTTAAAGATGGGGACCACCACCCCGGTCTGCCAGTCCACAGGTACTGCCCCTGATCTCCACGCAACATTGCAGAGGCGTGTCAACCAGGACAGCCCTACAACGTCCAGAGCCTTCAGGAACTTGGGGCGGACCTCATCAACACCAGGGGCTCTGCCACCAAGGAGTTGTTTAACTGCCTCAGTGACCTCGCCCCCGGAAATTGGCGGGTCATTCCCCTCATCCCCAGACTCTGCTTCCTCCTCGGAAGACGTGTTAGTGGGATTAAGGAGGTCCTCGAAGTATTCCTTCCACCGCCTGACAATTTTCTCAGTCGACGTCAGCAGCGCTCCGCCAGCACTATACACAGTGCAGGTAGAGCACCGCTTTCCCCTCCTGAGACGTCTGACGGTTTGCCAGAATCTCTTTGAGGCAGTCCAAAAGTCTTTTTCCATGGCCTCTCCGAACTCCTCCCACACCCGAGTTTTTGCTTCAGCCACTGCCCGAGGCGCATTCCGCTTGGCCTGTCGATACCTGTCGGCTGCCTCCGGAGTCCCACAGGCTAACCAAGCCCGATAGGACTCCTTCTTCAGCCTGGTGGCTCCCTTCACCTCTGGTGTCCACCATTTGGTTCGGGGATTACCACCACGGCAGGCACCAACCACCTTGCGGCCGCAGCTCAATGCAGCAGCTTCGGCAATGGAGACGCTGAACATGGTCCATTCGGACTCAATGTCCCCAGTCTCCCTCGGAATGCTGTTGAAGCTCTGCCGGAGGTGTGCGTTGAAGATCTCGTGGACTGGGGCCTCTGCTAGACGTTCCCAGCACACCCTCACTACGCATTTAGGTGCACCAGGTCTGTCCAGCGTCTTCCCCCGCCACCTGATCCAACTCACCACCAGGTGGTGATCAGTTGACAGCTCAGCCCCTCTCTTTACCCGAGTGTCCAGAACATATGGTCGCAGGTCTGCGATATTATAATATATAATAGAAATAATATGTATATATTTCTCTGAGAAACGAAAAGCTGCTACTGCAAATTCAGGCTCATCCACTGAGACTAAGTTTAATGTCAGTGTGTAGGACTGCAGCTGACCACCCACTGATTGAATAATCTCCACTCATATCATGTGAACTAAACAAATGTCCCAAAGTGTAAGCTTAAACATATCGGTAACATCTGAGAATTTCTGAATATTATTTTCTTATATAGCAACTCATTTATAATGTAGTGTTGATTCATTAAGTGCTGTTAATACATGAAAATAATCAATATACAAATGATAGATTTAAATTTATGATTAAATTCAAAAGATTAGAGATTTTAGTTTGTAAAAGTACAGTGGCAAACTGGAAAATTCTCAGTATTGTGCAATAACATTGAGTAGATGAATAAGTTGATTCAGGTTTGTTGTTTTCCATTTAAATATTCTTGCCTTCTGTATTAATCTTCTCTCCCCCTGCAGTCCCTGCTTGATGAGCCAAACCCCAACAGTCCGGCCAACAGCCAGGCAGCTCAGCTGTACCAGGAGAACAAACGGGAATATGAGAAACGCGTCTCTGCCATCGTAGAACAAAGCTGGAGAGACAGTTGACCTGATACTTGTGATTGCTTCTCTCCGTCCATTGTTAAGCTGTGTGTGCTGCAAGTTTTAGTGGAATAACTCTTAATTTTTTGACCCTCCCCTCTTTTAATTTTAAGCTTTTATGCACTTTACCCTCAACTTTCCATCATAAAACATCTTGTTCCTGCCCAACAAAGAGGGCCTTTTTTTTTTTCTATTCTCGCCCCCTTTTTAAGTTCATCAGGGGAAATGTGCTGAATCTTGCCTTGATGTAATATCATTATGGACTTGAGGGCCATTACTTAAAATCCTGGTGTGTTCCAACTTGCTCTAATAACTCCATGATTAATTGTTTTGTGTCTCAAGAGGGTACATCGTTAAGTCATGGGTCCTTTTCTGTTGTGAGCCTGATTTGTTGTCAGTTTATTTTCATAAGGCAGTTAGATACTGAGCAGCCTGATTATCACAGACTACAACTAAATCACCTTTACACCATGTCCTTTGCTGTGTTGTGAACTGTTACATGCATGACGGAGTGTATTCACTTTCCCGTTCACTTGTGTATATAAGAAACCTGCAACTGAAATTATGTACAGATTTTGCACTGGTTGTCCCCCATGTCACCTTTTCCAGTACTTGTAAATAATATAAAAAAAAAAGGCAAAGTCATCCCTGTATGGACATGCATTTTCTTTCAAGTTGTTAGTGCACAAGTTATTTTACTTTCCAAGGTTTGAGCATAAATGCTCGTAGCAACAACGGCCACTTGCGTAGGGTACGTCGTAGGCTCTACGGAGATTCGTAGTCAGTCTAAATCAGGCCTTGTCTGGGAAAGTGGATCACAGTAAAGCTAAAGTTCTCATAAGATCTGTTTCTAGAGATGATGCCAGAAAATCCACTATATATGGTCTTATTTTGAGATCTTTGTTGAAACAGCAAAATAAAATTATATATTCAATATAAGTTAAAATGCACTCTCAACTGACAGTTCTTTATGCAATACTGGAGAATCATTAGCTTTTACCTAAAACTCATTAAATACATTTTAAACATCTCATTTTATCATAAAAGTAGCATCCATGTTGCTCTTGTACAATGTTCTAGTGAAATGCAGTAAGCCGCAATTCAGTTGTAATTACAGATCAATGATTACAGAAAATGATGCATCTGAAATCATCACACAGTGAACTTTGAGTGTTGACTATAAAGTAGTGTTGAAGAACACAGAATTCATGTTTCTACTTTGTTTTTTATTTGAGTTTATATAGTTAAGCTTGTGATGTTGCATGCAAGATGAACACAAAGAGGGATGATGTGACAGCTTGTTACAAACATGCACATGGTTGTGTACTGTACTACAGCTACTGTTTGTAAACAACCAGGAGATGGCATTCTCGTTTCTCAGGTACACAGCTGTTACAAAAATAACTATTTACAACACCCCTCTCTTCGTGGATTTTTTTTTTTTTTTAGCAAACTGTTAACTGGAAATGAAGGCTAATATAGATAAAATTAAATTTTTCACACAGGAATGTTCATGGGGCCAGGTGAGCTACCTGTTGTAGGCTCTCTCCTTCTTAGCCCTTTCTAAGGCCTTGTCCATGGTCTTCTCGTTTTCGCCTCTACACTTCGGGCAGTACCACTTGCCTTTAGGCTTATGATGGAGCCCGACGCAGGAGAAATGAAACCACTCAATGGGACATTCGTCATTATCGCAGCCAATCATCTCGCCGTAAGACACCTGTTCGCACAGGCAATATGTTGGCTCATCCGGATCGATGGGCAGGTCTGGAGGAGACACTTCTCTCTCTGATTTTCCTTTTGACCTTTTCTTTTTCTTGGAAGATGTTTTGGCCTTCTTTTCCCGAGACACTCCCACTCCCACTTCCTCAGCATGATCCAGACCCCCGTAGCTTTCCCGATTTTCTCCATTTTTCTGACGTCGTGAGCGTTTCCCTCCCGCCTTTTCTCCACCACCTGAAGATGATGTGACCTCATCACGCTTCTTGTCGTGGTGACTGGGTTTGCCCACAGTAACTGTAGCTGATGTTGAGGACATCAAAGACGATGCAGTGGTTGTCATGGAGGTGGCCGGAGGAATGTGACTTTCTGGGATTTCTTGAGAGGAAAGGAGTAGTTCTGAATGCCAGTCTATTTGTCGCGTTCGGTTCTCAACCAGCTCCACCTGGAAAAAAGAAAGAACATTCATGTTTTGTTTTTTATTTTTTCCAAGTTCACCTAATTTATTTGACAATGTAGACTAAACCATCACACTTAAATAATCCTGAATACAAATCTATGTGAGAAACCCCAAACTACATCAGTATCTGCCATGTCTGTGCCCCGACAGAGCCAATCAACAGCTGAACCTGAAAACACATGAGCCATGTTGCTTGAACTTGCACGAATAAAAGCTTTTTAAAGGACTCTCATTAATCATCGTGAAGCCTAAATCCTTTTTGGTTTATGTTTTTGTGAAGAGACAATCTGTAGCTCCCTTGGATGCACTGTACGTTTTAAAAAGCCAACTCTGATTAAGATTTGTTGAACATAAATTTTGCCTTCTTTGCTGAATTAACTAGAAAGAAGTTCATGCTTTCAGCAGTTTAGGCTTAGCTGACGTCTAGGGGCTTATAAATGTTACTATAAACAGGTTTACACAGGGTAAACCTGTGTTTGTAGAGGGAGGGATGCGTGCCAGATGGACTAAAAGGATTTTAGCAGCTCTGTATCTGTCCTTCCCTGCATGTCATTCCCTCTGTACCCCATTTCCTGTTTATCGCTACTGTGCTATCCATATAAAGGCAAGAGCCTGAAAATAGTTTAAAAATATATATATATATAAATGTGAATGTTCATAGAGAAATTATTATCAAAGCTATCCACTTTAATTATGTATCACAAAAGGAACACAACCCAACTGAACTTTGACATACCAAACATGCCAAACAGGAAGGTCAAACATAGTGTTGTGTTTCTGGTAACTGCCTAGCTTGTATCTACAATAGAGTTATTTAATGTTTACTGCTGGAGTCTTGTAAATGTTTAGATTTTTTTTTTCTTTCTTTCTACAACAGATTTCCAAAAAATGTAAACATAAAGCTCATTCAGTCCTGATACAAAAGATCCATAAAACCCATTAATCAGGGTAAGCGTTCTTGTCACAGAAGAAGAGTAACGTAGATTCATCAATACACACATTAAGACCCAAAAGCTACTTTTTTGTCCAGTTTTTCTTCCACGTACCATTTGACCAGCAATCTGGATCTTTTCATCTCCAAGCTCCTGACTGCGAATTAGCGCCCTCTGAATAGACAACTGAAGCTTGCGCCTCTGAAGGGAGTCAGATTCACGGCGATACCGGTCATAAGCATCATCAAGCTCCTTCAGAACATCTGACCAAAAAAAAAAAAAAAAGATAAGAACAGAACAGAAATACACCCCATGTTCAATAGTATACTTGTTGTTAGTCTTTTTTTTAACCCTCATTAAAACAGACGGAGCAGCAGCATGACTACAGGTTGAAAAGTAAGAAAAATGAATCATTGCAATCTTTTGTATTACTTTGTATATATAGATATATATCTATATATATAGATATATATAGATATATATCTATATATATAGATATATAGATATATATATACACACACACATACACACACACATAAATTATTTCACTATGAAACCTAAACAAATGTAAACATCAAAGAGTAATCTTTACCTTGATACTTGGCATCAATTTCCTTCATGAGGGACACGCTCCTTTGCAAGTCAAAAGGAAGGGACTCCACAAGGTCCAAATACTCCTCCACATAGTTCACAACAACGTGACCTGGGTCACCATTGGTCGGGTTCAGCATTGCGGATCCGTTTCCCCGCCGGCGCACTCCTACACCAGCACCTGTCAACAACATTAGCTTTTTCATTGATGAATCTAATACTCAAGTTTGCAAGTAAATATTACTTCACTGCCTCAAACGTTTTTGATTGAAGCATCATAACGTGTGTTTTACAGCGTTTTCGTCGTGTTTACTAACACCTGTAATCAAGAATCAGTTCTGGGCTGCAGACATACAGAAGAGAAGACAACTGATCTGCAGTCAGCCATACTGATGAAATTGCTACGTGTACTGCGAATGTGCCAACTGTTAGCTAACTCGAACTACCAATGCAGGATCTGCAAAGAAATACAAGACCCGGTGACTTCCGCTGGATAGCTGATAACTTGAAGTTGCTCGTATGGGGTGTCCTTACTGCAAGGTCTTCACAACTACAACGGAGCAGACAACTGTAATGCTAGCTAGCAGTGTTTCCCGGGGAACTGTAATCATTTTGGCTATGTGGAAGAATCACAGATGGATATGCTAACACAAAGCCTGCCACAAACAACAGGACACAAGTGAACTGCTGTGTTTGAATATTTCATCAAAAGCAGCAGCTGCCCTGTCGTGTCTAATGTTTGCCAAAGCTAACTACAGCAGCTATCCTGCCCTGCTGCTGCTGAGTCCATTTTAACGACAAGTAACGATACCCAACTTTTCCCAGTTTGCAAGTTTATGAATCTCTCAGTCTGCACCACACACTTATGAAAATGGGATTTTCAAAATGTGGCGTTAACTGTGGAACTCGCTGCTAAATGTTTTGGAAAGTTACATCTTAATGTGACAAACAACGCTTTGAACAACGGTCACCGAAGTGAATACGTTTCACCTTCAACACATTAAGCACCCACTGAACATTTACGGACAATTCTAGCTAACACGACGCGGACAAACAGAATGGTCTTTTACTGCTTTGGCACTTTAAAGTGGTGTTGACGCGTTGGCTTCGGCGTGTCTGTTAGCTGGATTAGCCGACTAGCTTATAACAATACTAAACGAAATTCAGCTCCAATCCTTACGGAAATACAGAGCAGATACCTCGCCACACACATTCAGTTGCCATATAAGCGGAGGGTGAGTAAACTTACCTGTGAATACTCCGAGTTAACCTTACAGACTCTGTGATGCTGCTGTGGGTCTTGTTGCTAACGCTAGGTAGTGCGTGTGTGTGTGTAACTACGGTGGACTCGCAACAACGGAGCTAGCTGTCGGATAATTCAGCTATGCGCATGCGCCGCATACTTTACACGAATCACACACGCCTCACTCTTCTGCTTTTAGGTTTACGATGCTGCAACCAACCAAAACACTTTGTTGTCCAGCAGGTATCGGTTTTCATGGACTTTACAAGTTAATATTCCCCACTGACTCTATAAAAGTCACGTTTTCTGCAGTCACTCACCCAGTAATACTTCCATGATGGCTTTTAAGAACTTTGTCGAAACAAACAAACAAAATCACATTTATAATTTATTTCAAAACGTATACAGGTTTCTGGTTTAGTGTGAGCCCATCCATCCTAATGTCTCAGTCTCTTTGGTGGGCTTGGTGAAGGCATTCATTATTCAACTAGTGGTTTTCTTTTTGTTACTTTTTCATTAAACACAACACAAACAACATGTCAGTGTGTATATTTTGCACCAAATTTTGATTCCGGGTTCAAATCAGTCATTAAAATTCAGCTAAAGAAGAACATTGCTTTCAATCCCAAAAAGGTTACGTTAGGAGCGTAAAATTTATTCTCTTTTTACAACTGTTTGCATCGCTGACTGTTTTTAGCTTTCGAACAGCTTTTTGAAGGCTGAGCTGATCTCCTGGATCATGTCTGACGTGGTGGTGGACCTGCCGTGCCGCTGGAATGCTTGACTGTTGCACTGCCTGGTGAGCGAACAAGCACCAAATGCAGCAACCACTGATGGATTCATACTATAGGGGAGCAAAGGGAAAGAAGAAGGGGAAACAAAAGAGAGAATATACATCCAAATAAAGTGAACACGTACATTTCTCTGTGCAACATCACACTTTATGCATTCATTACATAGGAAAAGCCAAAAAATCATCGTGAGAAGTGGTCAGAACGTTTGGTGATAATTTTTATACACTCTCAGCATGTAAATCAGTGCACTCTGTAGGTAATGTGTGTAAATATATTTTTAAAAAAAACTATTTTTTATCCATTGAGCCCTGAAAAGCTTGGCCTATACATTCATTCAAACATAGCACAAAAAGCAAAAATCATGCCTTCACCTTCTGATCATTCCTGCTGTGGAAGCAGCATGGGCCCAGTGTGCCAGCACTCCCATAGATCCAGAAAGGAGATCCCCCTGTCCACCGCATCGTCTCCCGCTGCCTTCTAAATTGCATGAGTACACTACAAACAGCAGCACACGACACAGCGTCACAAAAGGAGCTCCGAAGCATCTGAGAATAAACAGAGTGAACGATCAGCCGGAAGAAATTAAAGCACGTTCTGTTTGATGCCAACCTTTGCTGCCATCTGTGATGAAATCCTGCTCCCCCTTCAGCACCAAGGTGAGGTTGCCCATAGCTACACTGAGCTGCATGACGCTCCGCTGATAATCACTGCTGTCCATGGGCTCATGGTGCTAATGCACACAGACAAGGTAAAAAGACACACATCAGCATAGAGGATCACATGTTATTTGCTGTCAACTAGTGAGTGGGACTGAATTGTGCCAAGAAACTTACCAATGCCTCATACAATCGAGTGAATTCCATGAAGTTAGGCGTAAGGATGCCCTTCTGGTACCCTTGGATAACAGATGGTTGCTGTGTAACCAGCCATAATCCATCCTGTTAAGAATGATCACACACACTATGTATGACTTAGCAAATGAAACACCTTCTGCTCCACATCTGGGACTTTATTTTATCAAGACTTACTGCATCAATGACTATGGGGATATCTCTTGCTTTCGACTTCTCAATGACCTCCTGAAATAGAGAGAGAGAGAGAGAGCACAGGGTCTGTCTTTAATAAGCCTTCCGTTGGGGTGGGGGGAAAAAAAGAAGTAGTAATTTATCAGCCACCAGTAACACTTGTGCTATAACAAGTGCTAGCAATAAGACTAGTCTGCCATGCTTATGCAGAAGTATCTAGCAGAGTAGCAGAGACTGTGTTAAGCGCAAGGAAGAATGAATGTGCTCCACGTGCCTTTGCTGTTTTCAATAATAAGTCTTCTCTTCCTAAGCCTGGTCCCACCACAAGTCCGTGTAGTCTTGGAAGCCATTTTTCTATTTCTTCCACTGCGTTAGGACTGTCCCTTCATTCACACACATACACACAGATTGTCAGACATGCTGGAATGCACAATTAATCCCAAATTTTTCAATTAGTTTGCAAGGCAAAAACACACACACACAAAGTGAAGACTGATAACACTGTAACGGGTCTCTGAAGTGAGCAAACACAAATAGAAAGCAGTCGATGTTAATGTTTTCTGTAAGTGCCTCTTGTAGAGAAATGAGCCTTTTAACATTTTTTTGCTATTACAAGCTAATAATGGCTTTCTAAGAGCACACTGGCACAGGCTCACCAAACTGAAACGCAGTCATTAATGTTACTGTAAGGTTCCCAAGCCGCTCCAGCCACGACAAGTAAGCGTGAGCTGTGAAGGTTTGTACTGTCACACTGACAGAATACCCAGAATTATGACACTACCTGTTCATGATCTGACAAATGTCAGAAATTTAAATATTTAGGACAGTGATTACAGAATCATTGTGAGAAAGCAGCGTGTTAATTATAACACGCAACGTTTAATACAACGGAGTAGAGTGATGATAGTGAAATGCAGAATTTGGCTCCAAATAACATTACAACTCACAACAAAAAAAGAAAACGTGCGCAACTATTTATTTTGAAAATCTTATGCCTCGCCACAAAGCCTGGGTAAACTTTGATGTTTTTGCTTGCAATAACACACTGTGTAACATTTGTGAATGCATCCAAATTGTTTTGAAGGAAGGAAGGTTCAGGGCTGAAGCAATCAGCATCATGGGCTCATCCGGTTAGAATAAGAAAAAGCAGCCAGAATTATTCTCAGGGTTCTCTTTTTATTCTCAAATAAATAAGGCAAAGAAGGAAGGAAGGAAACAAAGACACACATGGACTGCTCTCTCTAAAAAGGACATAAAGTATGATTTAAGTAATTCAAAATGATACATAAACTCAGGAGACTCAAAGAGAAACTCACCTCAGCTGCCGCCCCATGTGGGAGTGAAGAAAGAGTGAGGGGTAGGTGAGTGCAGTCCTTATATACTGTGTGACATATAATGTGTGACAGGTGAGTGCAATTAAGGCCAAGCACCACACCCAATCAAAGGTGAGGAAAAGAAACAAGGTGCATCTGGTGAAGTGAATGTGCTAGAAGGTGAGCCTTTACAACACAAATACCAGTGCATAATGCTAATAAATACACACCATTGCACTCTCAATGATCCAACTGCTACCAGCTACTTCAAATACTACAGAAAGATTATTATTGGCTCTGTACTTACAGAACTGGATGGACTATGAGCTCAGGGCTGTATGATTTGATTACAACTGCAGCATCTTTGGTGCAGAACACGTGAGACAAGTCAGCCCCCTGGAGATGAGAAAAAAAATGTATATACAATATACAATTAGAAAAATTTTTTTTAAAAATGAATGGACAAAATTGATAGTCAAGCTTTACTGCCTACCACTTTTAAAGCAGAGATGGCAGCAAAGTAAGGAGCTCCAGTGTAGCTTTAGAGATTAGAGATGAAGAGAAATTAGGGCAAATGTTCCACTGAATTTGTTTTTTTCTTTTAAATCATGCAGGAATCTTTTATGCAACATACTCTTGACATCCTCCAATGATCCCAATACGTCCATCTTGTCCCTTGTGTTTTTTGGATGTCAGCGGAGGGACTATGTTCTTTACCAGTGGCAGGATGTCATCCTCCATACCTCTGTGCGACGTGGAGCCCAAACCGTAGAAGCGCTCAAAAACTGAGGAGATAAACAAAGTGAGAGTGTTCAGCGTACGAGCTAGTTTCAAACCACTGTGGTCGACAACAAAAACACACTAACACGATCCAAAATAAGAATAATAACTGAGTGTGATCTTTCACGTTACAGCTAATCTGCCTTCAGGTTTCTCTCCACATCAAGGCTTCACGCGTAGCGCCGGAACTAAATACCTAACGCCTGAGGGTCTGCGCTCAGAAATGGATTCTGCTGTGTGAGAGAGTCTGTCTGGGGCGAAGGGCGTTTGGGATGACCGGAGTGGCCACGTGTATGCGATGGGGAGGTACTGGAAATGACCGGAGCGCGGCCAGGATTCGCCGTCTTGGACGGAGCGGATGCTGAGCCGGAGGAGGAGATGCTGGCGAACATCTGACCAAGCATCTGAAGCATCTGCAGTTCCCGGGCATGCTCAGCTTCCCGGCGCCGGTCTTCTGCTTGCAAGCGCTGCTCCTCCATCCGGTAGAAGTTGTCCTCGGCTTGGGCGCTCTGCTCCAGGAACTGCTCCATCAGCTTCTCCATGGGGAAATTGGCGCGTCGCTTCCTGGGCCGTTTGGGCGCTCTGGCTGACAAACAGCTGGCCGATTGGCTGCTGTTAGGCGGCTTCGCACAAGTCCCTGAAGTGGAGAAGGGTGTGACATTATGTTAGCACACATACTCGAGTCACACTCGAGGCACTGAAACATGATAAAGCCACGAAAAAGTGATAGTGGATAAGGTTGGACTCACCATTACTCCCCACTGTCACTTTAACCGGAATGGGGATGGGAACAGTTGGGTATT